CTAGTAAGGCACTTGTTACTAGAAGCGATGCACTTGTTCCTAATAGCTTCTTGCTACTAGTAGTAAGGCCAGGAGCCCCTAGTAGCTTCTTGTTACTACTAGTAAGGCACTTGTTACTAGAAGCGATGCACTTGTTCCTAATAGCTTCTTGTTACTAGTAGTAAGGCCAGGAGCCCCTAGTAGCGTCCTTGCTACACGTGGATCGGTGGGAAGAAGTTGGTGAGAGAAGGAAAGACAAACCTCCCACCTAGAAGCGATGGCCTCCAACCTACTAGCGCTGGCCCGTGCTGTCTTTAAGTGACTCGTGGAATCTTGGGCTTGTCAACGGTGAGGAAACCCAGGAAGGATGGAATGTCACAAAGGATCCAAGGGAAACAACAAACGCGTGCTGTTGGTGGTATTGGTGGTCTATGGTCAGCTCTTCTCCACGAGATGGTTATGTTACATTATTTTTAACATTTTCATTGGGACAAAACCAATCCATGTTCGTTAGTAACAAGTGCATCGCTACTAGTAAAGGCACCTTGCTACTAGCTACTAGTAGTAATGTCCTGGTTACTAGTAGCGATGCCCTTGTTGCTAGTAGTTAGAAATCTGTATTCCATGCCAAGTCTCCGACCAGTAGAACCCCGTGTTGCAGTTGGCAGTCCACGTGGTCAACCTCGATGTGCGCGCCAGGGCGTGTTCGGCCCAAAAAATGAAGAGATGAATGACTGGATGTCTTCAGTCCTCCTAATCAGCATTGAGTCAAAGCCTGGAAGGACTGCCCGCTTGGAATTGCTGCACCGACGTGCAGGTGACTCCACTCGTAACGCGTCTATTGTTTAAACGCGCAACAAAGAGACACGATGAATAACAACCTACAAGCAATGGTCCAACCAATGCTTGGTTCGCATTTCCAGATCAATTCATGCGGCTATTGATTTCCTCCCTTCAAGCCAGCATAGACCCCAAATAGCAAAAAATATTTGTCGGCATAGCAGTTGCGTGCGCTGCCACAGACATCTGGCAGTAACACCCTGCAGCAGCAGCCTGCAAAGGCACCATCCAAGCTCCAAAGTGCACACCGGCCACACACATTTGGCAGTGGCACTTGAAGTAAGAACCTCCCACTTTGCCATCATTCATTGACGTTCAAGACATCCAGCTGGCCCCCCAATCCACTGGAGGCTTGTTGTCTGCAGCCATGTCAAAAACCTGATAGAACACCTTAAAAAAACGGGTCAGTTCCACTAAGAATTATGTCTTGCGATGGTGAGGATGACTCCAGGCTTGACTAGATATACTTGGGCTCCCCCCTACCCTCTCACATCCTTTCACCCATGAGGCCAAAGAACCAAATCAGGCAGGAACAAGAACGCTACTAGGAGCAAAGGGCATCGCTACCAGGAGCAAGGACGCTACTAGGGGCTCCTGGCCGTACTACTAGGAGCGATCGGACGCCACACCCATTTGGCCAAAGAAACAAATCCGCGTCCACCATGCGTCCCGCTTCGTAGGACGGCTGATCCACGGCCGAGGGCGTGAAGTGATCGAAGCCGCCGGAGGTGATCGGGACCCCTCCGGTGAGCTGCTCTTCACCTCGCACGGAAGGCCGATCGCTCTTGGGGGGGGGGTAGGAAGCTACTAGGAACAAGTGCCTTACTAGTAGAAACAATAATTACGATTTAATTAGAATTGTAATTACTAGCAAAGGAATCTACTTACGTTTGTGAAGCTGGGCGTGTCATTGAGCTGCCGAAGGACCGGAAGAAGGACGTAGACGGAACTCAGGTTTTCAGTTCGCGCCCCAAGACTAGGATAGCTCACGCTACTAGCATGGGCGCAGGATAGCTCACGCTTCTTCAAGGAAGCTCCCCCCCAGCTGCCTTGAAGAAGCGTGAGCACTAATCATTTGGTTCCTAGCTTTCTAGGGACACTTAACGTTCTTCCCTTTCTTTTTTCTTTGTTTCTAGTAGCAATGGCCTCCAACCTACGATGGTTTCTCTCTTTCTTTCTTTCTTTCTTTCGTTTTACCTTTCTTTTTCAACCGGTTCCTCCTTTCTCCATATTCTTCGGGTCACAGGCATCATCGCTGAACAACTTCAGGTCTGCCACACCCCAGGGCCGCTCGACGATGCGGCTGAGTTGGTTGGGGCAGGGCTCATCCTGACGAAGTGAGTCACTAGAATAGCCTATTGTTACTAGTAGTAACAAGTGCATCGCTTCTAGTAACAAGTGCCATACTAGTAGTAACAAGAAGCAAGTAGAAACAATAAGCTAGTAGTAGTCACATCTCTACTTGTTACTAGTAGCGATGCCCTTGCTCCTAGTAGTAAAGCCAGGAGCCCCTAGTAGCGTCCTTGCTCGTAGCGATGCCAGGAGCCCCTAGTAGCTTCTTGTTCTTCACTTGGGAGAGAGATGGATCCCCGCCGTGCACAAGGAAGCAACCAAAACCATGAAACAAACGCCCTAGTGAGAAGGCAACATCTTACCATCCAGATTCACCCCCAAACCAAAACCAAAACCAGATCCTCAACCCGGAGGCCATGCCCTGACCCCAAGTTCAGCAGAGACCACTTAAAGAGGCAAAGGAAGTTTCCCTAAAACTCTAGGAACCAAGTGTGATCAGTGCTCACGCTGCGTGAGCTATTCTGCGTCCTAGCGAACTTCTCCTCGTAGCTTACCTCCTTGCTTAATTGAGTAGGCGCCTAATACTTAATTCAGGAGGCAGGGCCACGGGCTGAAAGAATAGAGTAGCTTCTTGTTCCTAGTAGTAAGGCCAGGAGCCCCTAGTAGTGTCCTTGCTCCTAGTAGCGATGCCCTTTGCTACTAGTAGCCTTCTTGTTACCGGGTGAAGCACATGCGCAAGTCTTTCGTCCTTCCGGGACAGATAGAGCAAGCGCCACATGGTGTTGCCCCCCGCAGGGCGGCGATTCCAGGCGCTGCCGCCTAAACCGTCCAAACGCCATTGAGCTCGCCAAGCTTGACCATCCCATTTCGAGACCTGGAGAAAGGAGAGAACGAGGAGAGCAAAGGAGGAGAGGAGGAGAGGTGATTTCTTCCTTTCCCAGGAACCATTACGGAGGAGAGGCGTTTGAAACAAGAAAAACAAGCACAGCACATTTCAATGGTGGATAGACTGCATCCGCTCGGGTCTGTTCTAGTAGCTTCTTGTTACTAGTAGTAAGGCCAGGAGCTCCTAGTAGCGTCCTTGCTCCTAGTAGCGATGCCCTTTGCTCCTAGTAGCGTCCTTGCTTCTAATTTAATTCTTGTTTCTAATAGCTTCTTGTTACTACTAATAAGGCACTTGTTTCTAGTAGCGATGCACTTGTTCCTAATAGCTTCTTGTTACTACTAATAGCGATGCACTTGTTTCTAGTAGCGTCCTTGTTCCTATCGGGTCTGAAGTTCTTCACCCATCTGCCATCTCCGAACCAAACCTTGAACCAAGAAGCGAACAAAGAAGAGGCTGCGAACTAAGTATTTCTTTTCCAGGTTCCTGTTTCCTTCTTGTCTCCCTTCTCAGAACTCAAGAACCGTCTGAGATGCGCAACCATCTGCGACCAACTCCTTTCCGCCGAAACCCTGGTTTTGGGCTTCGATGCACAGTAGTAAGGCACTTGTTCCTAATAGCTTCTTGTTACTACTAGTAAGGCACTTGTTACTAGTAGCGATGCACTTGTTTCTAGTAGCGTCGATGCACCTGGGCAGAGGAGCTTTGCATCCGCTCGAAGCCGACCTGGAAGACCCGCACGCACTTCACCTGGGGCGCAGGTCGAAGGAGGGACTTGGAGTGGTGCTGGACAGATGGATCTGGATGAAATCTGGATGCTTCTAGTAACAAGAAGCTTCAAGATGCCTTTTTTCTCTTTGCTCCAATAGCAATGGCCTCCACCCTACTAGCAATGGCCTCCAAACTATTGGCGATGGCTTCCTAAAAGGATATGGTAGAACTGTTCTGCTTCTGAATTTTTCCGTCTCTTTTTGGCCAAGAATTCGGAGGTAGAAAGCGAAAAGGGGTCGAAAAATGCACCAGCAAACTCCGCGTCTGTATGTGTATTCTGCTCAGCTCATGTTCGGGGTGGAAAGTGTGGGAAAACAACCTGTCGTCTAGGCTCATACCCAGGTCCAAGCCGTCTTCTTGAGTCCTTGAATCTTGGTTTCCACAGCTTGGTCCATGGATCATCCATGAGTCCAACATCAGATTCGCCTTTCCCAAGTACCGTGCTCTGTTTCCAGCTTCGATCGGGCAAGACTCTGGAAAGGGCTTTTTCATCGGCTGAAACTGCAGTGACCTGTCACGAACCCGATCCAACCTGCGCGCCTCGTCGACTTCATTGTCAGCACCCAGGTCTAAGCCGATCCATGCCTCGCCCGCCAAACAGCCCACGGGCGTCCGCAGCAGCTCGAAGCCCAGCGGACGCTCCGAGCTATCCACCTGCAGATGGATCTGGATGGTGCTGTCCAGCGGCCTGCAACCTAGCAATGGCCTAGAGATGCCTAGAGTCTAAGAGACCTAGGTCGTCCGCGCCCCTAGTAGCGAACATTGCTCCTAGCAGTACGGCCAGGAGCCCCTAGTAGCTTCTTGCTCCCAATCTATTTTTGCCTCCTTTTCTTTAATCTCTTATTGCCTTCTTCTCTTCCCATACATGGAATCTTTGCTGTCCATTTGTGTCACAACCGGAACGTGAGATACCAAACTAGCACCTAACAGAACCATGTTCACGCCCAAACTCAGCGGCGCTGCGTTCACCCCCGCTACCAGCGTCTCAGGCCTCGCAGCATTGGGACATCCAATAGGTGCTGGTGTTGCCATCCAAGGCATTCTCCGGGCCGTTGATGGCCATGGGCGGAGCGTAGCCGCTGGCGATCACATCTCCCATCCTCGAAGCTTGCCACATCTGGTGTTACAAGAAGCTGCTAGTAACAAAGGCACCTTACTACGAGTAACAAGAAGCTACAAGTGGGCTTAGTGAATGTAAAAAAACACCTTCCACTCTTGCCACATCTGGCTCCCGACCGGACTGGAGATGCTCGGTGGCACCCCAATTCTGAAACTAGTAGCGTGGCACTTGTTCCTAGAAGCTTCTTGTTACTAGTAGTAAGGCCAGGAGCCCCTTGTTGCTTCTTGTTACTACTAGTAAGGCACTTGTTACGAGAAGCGATGCACTTGTTCCTAGAAGCTTCTTGTTACTACTAGTAAGGCACTTGTTACTACTAGCGATGCACTTGTTGGACCTTTTGATCCGGATCCGGCGATCCACGGTCCCATGGCCTCCCACAGATTCCGTTTTCGCGTCGGGAATTCAACATGTTCCTCAAGTGGCTGTAGATGCACCGGTTTGCAATCACTCCTTTGCTTCCAAAAGCATTCACTGCGACTCGCGCAACGCTCCCCTATTCTGGAAGGAGTCCAAACATCCTAATGAATAGTTGCTACTAGTGACAAGTGCATCGCTACTAGGAACAAGGGAGCCGGCCCCTCCCGAAAAAAACTATTGGTCGAAAGAGACCCTTTTGTCTGAGGCTCAACTTCGGAGTGCACGTGCTTTCCCCGGAGAACTCGACTTCATAGAGCGCCCATCCTGGAGCGACGAAGACACTTCGCTCGAGCGGAGAAAACACGGCTTCACCGTCGCATGGAGGTTTCTCTCTTTTTAAAGACCAGTGCTTCATTTCCTTTACTTATTCTTCGTTTGTTGTTCTTTCTTGGGATTCTTCCTTCCTATTCTCTTCCTTTAAAGAGAGAAAAGCACATGAACAAACTCATTGCAAACAAGCGCCTCCTCACCAATCTCAACGGGTTCCAACTTCTAATGTAATCCCCACATTGTGTTTCCTTCATGAATTCGGGAAAAATACACACAACACTCATGACATTGTGCACATTTGGCTTGTTGCAACCCGCAGCTGAGGCTGGGCATCAAACATGACCACGCCATCGAGTGTCTCGGCCCTCCCATCTCACCGTCAAAGGAAAACAAAGGCCATTAATACTAGTAGCAAGAAGCTAAGAAGCTAGTAACATCAAGACAAAACGCCGGGGGAGCAATCCATTTAGGCCGTGTGGCACGGCACTTCGTGCTTCGGTCCTTCCGGCACCTCCAGCGCATTCTCCAAGCGCCACAGTGACCCCGGCGCGGCCGGACGGCGCTGCCAGCCGCCACCGCCCAGGCCATTGAGATTGATTTCCATGCTGGAAAGCTCGGGTTCCTGGGACGAAGAACGAGTGGTCTGTCTTGTAGGCGAAGGACACAGACGACATGACACCGTTCTTGATCGGAGAAAAGGTTGATGGCACACGGTCGCAGATTGGAGCTGCTTCTATGGTCACACCGTTTGACAGCCAAGGTTGTTTGGAGCGCTTGTGAATCGCACCGCAACCTGCAAGAAGTAGGTTGAGTGGTTGCAAAACGATATGTTCAACCATGATCTGTTCAACGAAATGTCGTCAATTGTCAAGCACAAACACCTGGCGGCTTCCATTTTCGCGTTTGTAACTCATTTCCACTCAGGTGATTCTGCGTTGCTCCCGCTCTGGGCAGTCCTCGCTCCGCCATTCCACGCCATCCCAAAGTTGCAGCCGCAATGAAGGTACGTACTCCATGGGCATGGAACCCTGCCTTGCTTGAGAACCGCAAGCCATGAATGGTCACAGTGGGCGGTTTGCTGTGCAGCCTAGTCCAAAATCCAACCCAGCCAGAAAGCTGAGAGGACAGTAAAAGCTGGGAGGCGTCTTCAATTCTAATTTTCTGCCGGCCCCCCTGCACATTAACAATTAAACCTCAATCATAGAAAAAACATCTCTGCCGGGATGACCTATGCACGCATGCTTTACACGAGCAGTGAAAGGCATGCAAGATTGCAACTGCAACAAATGGTACTTGGACCGCTGCTTGATGAAGACTGACATCGATCACACAAAATTCAGCCCTGCACACCTCCTTTCCCGAGCTCGCGAACCGCATCGCGAACCCCGCATCGCGACGCGCCGAGGCGCAGGAGCTTGATGCATCGGACCCACACGGAGCCCGACAAATAGTCGATGCCGCTGTAGGCCGGGCGCTCCAGGCTTGGCGCGTGTCCTTTAGGCGGCCACGTACGGCGCGGACTCCCCGCGTGTCCAAACGGTGGAGCTCAGTCAAGGACATACAGATCAGCATGAGAACAGTGGTGTGAGTAACATCTCTTGTTTGGGCATTTGGCCAAGCAGAATCTTCGATGTCGCGCCCTCAACAGAGTGGTAAGTTGACTCCTGTACTGCAACTCCATGTCTTTTTCAGGTTCCACTTTGGTGATCCTCGTGACTTTCTGCCCGCGTTGATTGGTGCATCAGCTGGCTATAGCCCCAAAGTAGATCGAACCAACAACTACCCCCACATGTCTCCACTATTAGGAGCAAGGACGCTACTAGGGGCTCCTGGCCTTACTACTAGGAGCGAGGACGCTACTAGGGGCTCCTGGCCTTACTA